GAAAAAATCCATATTTGGTGAAAAAAGCTTACTTTAAGATTTTGCCTGTTCTGACTAAGGCTTCCCGAGAGCATGAAGCAAATTCCTTGTCCCGACAAAAAACCCTTTTAGTAATTGACTGTGAAATCTGCTCCTTCACATCCAACAAAGTCTTTCAAGGGAGGGTTTACAGTCACAGACCTTAACTGGCTTGGAGAGCTGCGAGGCCAAAATCTGCAGAACTTGGCAAGGAATCTCGGAGAGTCACGAACCAATGAAGCAAACTAATTGTCTCCTGCAAACTCCACTCCCCTTTCCCTCCTCTTATTTCCTCTGGGAGGGGGCATTCATCGTCCACTTGTGGCCTTACTCCCAAGTCGACCCCTGTTCTTTAGCTGTTCCCTTCGTCTGGCAACTGGGAACAGGCTCCAGCTGTTTGTCTGCCTCACTGATGTCTGCTGATAACTGCCAGACGGCCCTGGCCACCTCTCTGACTCCAACACAGAGCCTTCATCAGAGCCTTCCCCAGACTCCAAGACCGGCCCATGTTTCTCCCCAACCTCCTCACTCTCCGAATCTGCTGCCAGCTCTGCTGGTGGGCCACAACTCTGCCCAATTTCTACCGATCAACTTAAAAATATTCATTTGGCTTAGATCAAGAGTTTATGTCGAACGGTAATATACCTACCTAGTGAGTTCTCAAAATGCCCACATCAAAGGGGAGCTGAGGAGATGTAATAGATAGGGATTACTAAGCATGTGGGGCACATTGAGATTTGGACAGACTTATGGCTAGATCTGGAAAGCTCAATATACCATTCTCTTGGTTTTCCTCATTTTCGGGGATGCTCCCTGGTGCCTCGGTACAGTCGACATTGCCAGCTTCCTCTTGACTGCTGGGTCCTTGTGAGCTTTCAGAAGTCTCTCCCCCTCCTTCCTCTTCGTCCTCTGGGGCTAGAAAATGCAGTTTCAGGCCCGTGAAATTGGAAAGGAGCAAGAACAAGGCCTCGGACCGCAAGAGCTCCAAGCACTCTCTTAAAGTGGCTGGCAAGCTTTTCTCCTCTGCTTTCTCGTAATGCCTACAAAAGACAGTAAGCTTAATTAGGGAGGACTTTCCTACACTTCCTTTCTTCAAAATGCTTTGCTGTCTGGAATTTCATATCCTCGTTTCCTTAACTAGCCTATAACACGACCGGCCGGATTAACCGAAATTCTCAAGATGATCCAGTTTTATAAGAGATTCTCGCATTACGTTCACGGATCTCTTGGCGCAGGAGCCAAATCCATCTGGCACAGGTTGGTGGTGGCAAGAAACCTGCTCAACTGAACCCAGCTGCTCAGTTGGGAGTGACGCAGCCTGAAACAGCCTTACCTTTTGTTGGGAGGCCCTCTGCTGCTCCAGGTGAGTCCTTCCATCTCCAGAGCTTTGCAAACCAGCTCATACTTGTCTCTCTAGAAACCAAGCAGAAGGAAAGCTCATCTGAAGCAAGCTCTTGTTGGGAGCAGAGTTTGCAAAAGCAGCTGATGGAGGAGCCAGATGGAATTAATTCCTTGGTCGAATTTAAGTTAAGCGAGTCCGTTCCCCCCGCCTTTTACATCCTTTCTGGCCACGGTTGTTAAGCGAATCATTGCAGTTATTAAGTTAGTGATGTGGTTGTCAAGGGAATCTGGCTTCCCTGTTGATTTTGCTTGTCAAAGGTCACAAAAATGGAAAATATGACCCCCCCGGACACTGCAACCGTCATAAATATGAATCAGTTGCTAAGCATCCGAATTTTATTCAAATGACCATGTAGATGCTGCACTGGTCGTATGTGCGAAAAATAGCCATAAGTCACTTCATTCCAGTGCCATTGTAACTTTGAACGGTCACTAAACAAACTGTTGTAAGTCAAGGACGACTCGGCACCTCTCAACCTGTCACGTGAAGCTGAAAGAACTGTGAGAACAGGGATTGTACCTGTTTGTATTTATTAGTATTTATTAATGCTTATAGGCCGCCCTTTTCCCTGAGGGGACTCAGGGCGGCTTACATAAAATAA